TAATGTAAACTTGTGTGTGAATGAGAACTTAGTTTAGTACTCACATGCTGTGACAGCCGCTTTCTGTCCGTGTGCTTCAGATGTGTGCACTCAGAAAACCGTATATCAGAAGTTTAAACTCATATGGTTTAAAACGATAATCAGAACCAAAACAGATGTTTTTAGCAGGTCCAAGCAGTAATGGCACAGCTCTATTCTGGAAAAGGGGGCGGGGAGCAGCAGCTCATTTGCATTTAAAGAGACAGGCCCGGAAAACAGCGTGTTTCTGATTCCACTCAAAATAGGCAATTTCAAAATGATATAATAAATGATCTGTGGGGTATTTTGGGCTGAAACTTCACAGACACATTCTGGGGACACCAGAGACTTATATTACATATTGCAAAAAGGGGCATAATATGTCTCCTTTAAATTTATATGAACTCTGAAGATGTATGTAATCACTTTTATATAATATTGTTAACAAGAAATAAAAACAAATATGAAAATATTAATTTGAACACGACTCAGTTGTTTGTGGACACATGATATTTCTTAGGAACTTAAATGTGCTTTACAGATCAAAATTTGGGGTAAGTCGTTTTTTTTTTATTTTTTTTTTTTATAGTTCTGTTGTTCAGCAATGATGCATTAAACTAAAAGTGACAAAGTCATTTATGATGATCAAAAAGTGCTGTTCTTTTGAACTTTGTATTCATTGATATTAAGAAATGTTTCTTGAGCACCAAATCTGCAAATTAAAATGAGGAATAAATTACATTTCTACATGTATAAAATAGAAAACAGTTATTGTAAATTGGAATAATCCTTCACAATATTACTGTTATTACTGTGTTTTTGATCAAATAAAGGCAACCTTGGTGAGCGTAAGAACAATTAAAAGCTATTTAAAAAAAATCTTACTGACCCCAAACTTTTGAAACAGTAGTGTGTATTACTGATAATCTGTCAAGCATTATAAAATAGTATTTGTTAATGAATAATGAAAGCTATTATAAAGTGTTTTATAACCCTTTTAAGGCAAGCCACTCAGCCAATCTTGGCATTGCCTTCAGTCAGCTATATTCTGTCATGGTTATAAACATGAAAGTATAGGCCCATTCTGCTTGAATTGGGAAAATCTGAAACATCTGAAACATCCAATGCTGTTGAATGTGTTGATATACTTAATACATAATATGGTAGTATAAGTTTAACTTTCTTTAGCTGAAATCATTCAATAAACATAGTCCAGCTAATTCGCTTCTCTGACTTGATTGTGTTGTAGAACAGGATCTTGTGCATTCATGTCACAGGAACTGCTCTTTCTCTGTTTTTGTGTTGTGCATCATTTTGCGTGTTTATTTCTTCAGTTCAAGCAGTGGCAGAGGTATCTGCGCATTCAGGTTAGATGCTGAACTGCTCTCCATCTGGAGATCACCACCACACTGACGCTCTGCTCTCCTAGTCACGTTACTGCGTGCTTTTCCCACATTTACAGTTTCATAATCATAATCGACTAGGGTTAGACTTAGACTCTTGTAAGGCTTCTTAATTTTTAGCATAACAGGCACAAGAGAATTACGGAGTCAAATGTACATAATATTGAGTGAATACAGTGATTTGAAAGAGCAGAAGCTTTTTGTGTGGTTATACCTGCATACTCCTTTCCACTTCACCCCAACACACTATTCCTTTGAGTATGTGTCTGTAGCGCATTGCAAATGAAACATGCAGCAAATCCTCGTGGGTGTTTGTTTTATGTTACTCAGAGACCCACTGAATTAGCCCTACAATGTGTTTCAGTTGGTTTTAGTGACCTTTCTGTAATCACCTTTGTTGTATGGAAGACCTTCCTTTCCTCTGACTGATCTTCTTATAAAAGAGCAACCTCTTTATCTCTCTGCATCAGAGTTGGGGAGTAACTTATACACTAGCATCTAGCAACTAGCATCACTTTTACAATAAGTTACACAACCATTCAAAAGTTTAAGGAGAAAGATGTAGCTTGACAAAGCATTACATAGCTTTGCAACAAGCATTGCAACAGAGCAAGCTGAGAATGTATCTTAACTGTAGTCTACCACTGATTCAAAGGTTCCCCAACACTGTTGTGCATGTATGAAAATGTGTGCGTGTTCCCTAGAGAGAGTGTTGATGGACACTGTGTGTCATTTTTTTTTTTTTCAGGGGGAGGAGATCACTAAGGAAGAGATTGACATGCTGAGTGACGCCTGCACCAAACTGAAGGGGCAGAAGAATCTCCTCACCAAAGAGAAAGAGGAGCTGGAGGACCTGAAGGATGATGTGCAGGAGTACAGCGAGGTGTGTACCATAAACCAACGGTCCATTTTCATTTCTGGTATAAGCATTTAAACATGTGATATCCACTACGTCTCTCTACAGGACCTGGAGGAGATCAAGCGAGAGCTGTCCAAAACAGGACAGGAGAAAGTGGTGGAGGAGTCTAAAGCAAGCCAACGTCTGTCGAAGCGGGTCAACCGCATGATTAGCAGAATGGATAAGATCGTCACTGAGCTGGAGAAGGACAAGATGGTGCTGGATGGACAGATGGACAGTGGGACCACACCACCAATTGGGTAAGAGTCCTTGATTTGCATGAGTTTGTATGGAATTGGGTTGAATGTTGATGGTGGTTTCTGTGTGTGTCATCAGTTATGCATGATAGGATATTGCAATCGACACAGTACAATGGGGGTGGAAGAACAACCTTGAAGGTTGCAAACGCGATCCAAAAGAAAAGGGTTCCCAGTCCAATTAAAAATCATTTTTTGTTGTTCTTTTTAGATTGTTCTTTGAGAAACATAGTGACTTGCCAAGGTAAGGACAGGAGAGACCTCTCGCCTTTCGTTTTTTTTTCCTCATCAAAAGCATTAACTTAAAAATATGGACTAAACACCATATTTTTTAACCAAATAGGTCTGAGGGGGTCTGAAGTGTGATTTTTGTTTGATTTAATATTTTAATCCGTCAGCAGTCTGCTTGTCATTTCCTTAATGCTGGTTATTGTGGATTTAATCAGTTGTGTGATTAGGATTGTGCTGTGAAATCTTGTTCTCAGTGCTGCAAGTATTAGATGGATGACTTATTTTAAGGCCTTTATTTTTGGCTTGTATGATTTAGTCCAAAATTCTTAAAGATTAGTGAATAATTTTCTCATTAATGACTCCAAAAACTCTTCCACTCATGAGCGACTCTTCTGGGAACCCTGCACGGCTGTCTTGGCATGCGATTGGTTGATCTGTGCACTTACTCGCCCTCCACCATCTTACCCCTTGTGTTATCAAGTAAACATTCCCTATATATAGTCTGTTCCTGTCCTACAGGGAGAATCTGATAAGCATAAACGAGCTCATTGCAGTCATGAAGCAGATCCAGAACATCCCTGAACACAAGCTGCTCAGCATCGCAGACGCACTCGATGAAAACAAAGATGGCAAGATAGACATTGATGACGTCTTAAAGGTAACAAGATGGGACTTCTTTGGTCCCTCATTGATTTTCTTTTCCCGTTTAGTTCCTGTCAGCATTTTATTTTGATGTTGACATTTATCTGGCGTGTGTGTTTGTGTGGTAGGTGGTAGAGCTGATCGATAAGGAGGACATCGATATCTCCACCAACCAGGTGGCAGAGATCATGGTGATGCTACAGAAGGAGGAGAAGCTGGTAGAGAAAGAGAAAGCCAAGGAGAAGGTCGAGAAGGAGCAGGCAGCTAAAATCCAAAACTAGACTTTCCGTGTAGGGAATGGAAAAGATCCTGAAGCTTTTGAAGATTTTCAGGTTCATTAATATGTGTTAAGAAGCTTCAGAGTGAGACTGAAAACAGTGCTGACCTCCCATATAGATTCATGTGTGTGTATATTTAGAACAAAGAAAGAACATAGAACAAACTTTGCTTTGTTCAAGGAAGACTGTTGTATAATGAATGAATTAAGACGTTTATTTATTAATAACATTACAAAAGGCATGCACTACGGAGCCCTACACATGACATACAGAAAACAATAGAAATTAAAACTTCGTTCCCTTGTTTTATGTAAATAATCCCCACAGTTTAACTAAATTACAATTTAACTAAGAAGGAACAAATTAAGTCGTGTGAATGAATTGTTAATTCATGGCCATCATATCGTTTATTAGTCATGTGTGAGGCACCGAAAATTCAGAGATAAATTTTGAAAGAAAATTTGTTCATTTATTTTCAAAAAGACCCTCTTAAAGGTGAAGTGTGTCATTTCTGGCACAAAACGGACTGTTTTGTTGAGCTGGACATTATAACATCAGCTCAACTAATAGCATGAGTTTGGGGTGGAACTATCTTTGTGTAACAGAAATTGCGCACTTCAGCTGTAAGATGCAAAAATGTATTAACTTCATTATTCTCATAATCTTATAGCGATGTCATTTCCTGTGATCTGAGAACATCTCCTCTCCTTGCACATCACATCACACCGGTCAGCATCATTCCACTACTCATTCTGTTGTAGTTTTATTTATTTTCAGTTCACAATCTTTGAGATTCTTGAATGTCGCTCAGAAGATGTTGATATCACACTCATGTTTATTCAATAACCAAAGAAGCTTTGTTGCAGATGTTATGCTTCATTTATACTTGTACATTCACATTCAAGCCACCAAGCACTGCGGCTTTGTATCACAGCAAAAGTCTAAAGTAGTATTGGGACGTATCCCTTCAGCACTTGAGCTTTATTCAGGGCAGAAGCTTTTGCACGGACTTGAAGATGGTGGCTGAGACAAATTCAGTTTTTGATGTTTTTTTTTAATTTATTTAGCTCCTATCTTGAATTGATTTCAGCATCACATTTACATTGTGGCCTTCAGTAATCAAAATCCCTTGTCCAAAGTAAACTCGAGGGATTAACTTGAGATAATATTGCTGTATAAATATGTAACAGTTCATCATTGCTAGTTTTTGCATTGTATACTAGCAGTAAATATCCATCTCTGTTAGTTAGCTTGGGCTAATGATAGATGAAGTGTGTTTGTGGATGTTTGTATGTGCTGGGAACCCAAAAGGGAAAAGATGGAGGTCAGTGCAGACAGAATCAGGGTACGGCTCAGCCTACAGTCTTTATGTGACCTGGATCATCCCTCTCTCCTTACATGGAGAGAGCAGCAGCAGTTGTTCTCGTAGCAGAGCACCTACAGTAACTGGAATGTGTCGATCAGCATGAGACTCGCACACTAGACTAGCATAGTTTCACAGGGCACATAAGGCAGGGAATACATCATCTTAACCCTAAGCATGTCATAGTGCGGGACCAGCATGTCTAACCTCAAAACACTGTTTTTGTGCTGTGTCTCAGACAGAGAGTCTGGGTGCCTATTTCACATTGTGTCCCTTAAAAGGATAGTTCACCCAGAAATGAAAATTCGGTCATTATTTGTTCACCCTCATGTATGATTTTTTTTTATTACATAGAACACAGAATTAGATGTTTAACAGAATGTTCATGCTGCTCTTTTCCATTCAAGAGAAAGAAGTCATAAATGTTTATAACCACATGAGGGTGAGTAAATTTTGACAGAATTTAAATTTTTGGGTGAATTGTTGGTAACTTACCTAGAGGCCCCTAACTACAGAACGGCATTTAGGCCTTAAAATATTTTCATGAATTCGTATTAATATACCGTATGATAGAAAAAGTCCTTGTTTGTGTTTTTTAGAGTAAGTATTTTATGCTGACGTGTAATTGCACTATAACTATAGAGAGCTTTATTTTTTTGCCCATTTTTGGCGTGTTGATCTAGACTCAGGAAGATGCATGTAATGTCTGTTTGCACACCGAGAGATATTTTGAGAAAACGTACACTTGAATTTTTAAAGTGGTAGAGGGGACGAATTGTGAATATTGTGGAAAAGTATAAAGATACCTTGCTTATTGTGTTTTGTTTTGCAATTTTAAATTGAGCTTTCAGATTCATTCATAACAGATGGTGCATGTGCACATATAAGTGACCACAGATGGAAGAGAGTAAAGATATTGATGTAATTGCCCTTTGAACCTAATTTACTGCTTAAGCTAATTGAAATATATTTGATTTATTATATATTTTCCCCTTTAAAGGCCTGTACATTGTGTCTTTCATGGTATTTTTGTTTGACTGTCCTGTATTTTAGAAGGTTCAAAACCTAAATACTGTTACGCTAGTTAACTAAATAATTGGTGAAAATGAGAGTGGTATGTGCAAAAAATGTTATTGAAAATCAGTATGATGTAAAATAAGAATTTTATTTTATTGTTCATACTACCTATGTAAATATACCATTTACATACAAGTGGTTCCAAAGTCAAATAAAATTAACTGATCTTTAAGTTGTATATTATCGTTTTCTTTAATTTTGTCTTTAATCCATGTGCATCTTCATGTTTCATATATCTTATTTTTTGTCTTTATCATTCAATTGCTTTAATGCCTTTTCACCCCCCTGCTGCATTATTCACCCGTTACCACTGACAGCATGGTATCAGATCCAACCTATCTTCTCTGTGGTAATGATTAAATTAATTTGACTTTTAATTTAAGTGTAACTTCAATTTCATATGGTTATATAATATGAATATAAGTAACTTGAATTTAAATCCAGTAGCCAGTGCACAGAGAACATATGTATTAACATAACGTATTTTTGCATAAAACTGACAAACACTGCTTGAGCAGTTTTTGCTCAAGTTCAAAGACTGTGAAAATAGGACTGCATACACAATAGGGAGAGAATAGTCTTCTGAGGATTTAAAGCACACTTACTAGACCAGTATTAAATTAAATGGCACTTTATTAAGAAATTGAGATTGCAATGTTGCATTTGAGGCTGCAGACAGGTATTTGAAGCACTTGACAGTTATTATTATTACCTTTTTGAAAATGGCTTGCCCTTGACCTTCTCTTATAATGCAACAGAACGGTATATGCTAGATGGTTTGTTTCATAACTTGACTGTTATGGATCTGATACATGGTTTAAATGTAATATTTATAGATGCAAGTCTTGGGGTAAGATAAAACATTGAGGTTATTCATAATCATTTTGTTTTGAGTAAAAATTTGCAAAATTTGCTAGACCACTTGGTGGCGCTATAGTCTTACACAATAAAAGTAATCACAGCCATGTCAACATGTCCCTATTTGTAACACTGCAATGCTATTCGTTAAGTCAAACCCAGTGTGGTGCATCAGTTGAATGCTAATGTTATACATATTCTCGCACCAGTTCAGGGTACTGTGCTTTTATATGAGTAGATCATTCACTTTCAGAAAAAAGGTACAAAAGTTGTCACTGGTGTGGTACCTTTTAAAAAGGTGCTAATGTGTACAATTTAGATAATAGGTACACTTGAAGAACTAATGTGTACCTTCAAAGCACTAATAAGCACATTTTAGGAGTAAATAAGGTACAAAGGTGTAAAAAAAGTACAGCTTCATTGACAGCTTTTGTACCTTTTTTTCTGAGAGTGTACTGACAACAGACTGTCTCAAGTATTCATATAAACACTACCACTGCAGAAAACAGTCAGCTTATAATCAATGCCTTAGATTCAAACAGTCGGACACCCAGACTAAAAAATGACTTGGAAATTATGCCTTCTACAATAATAACCTGTGAGGACTTGAATTGGGCTGAATAGCTGGAGGGAGAGTCACAGTAAATCATGCTGCCCTGTAAGTAAAGCCATGTGGGCTGGTAAGAGGACACTGCTCTGCGTAAGAGGGCTTCTTGTTTGTGCTGACACAAGTTCAACAGCTCTTCTCTGGCCGGCCACTGCGAGAGTTTTTATTGTAGGTGTGTAGCGTGGTGAAAGATTACATTTGATGTATATATTGTATGTTGTTTGGAGTCACGTTATAGACATAACAGTGCTGAGAGCAATCTAAAAACATTAAATGGTGCATGCTTTGTTTATGTAAGTAATAGTCAAGGGACTCTCACTCTCTCCCTTTTTTTGCACTCATAGAAATATGTGAGAAGACATGGAGAACTTGCTTGAGCTACAGACACTGCTCATCTACAACACACTATTGCTTTATGTAACTCTCTTATTCTCAGTATGTAACAATCTCTGTATTTTCCAATACACAGATGCTGATATGTTCATATAGCACTAGTAGCTTTGTGTCGGTCACATTTAGCAAAAAAATAATAGTAATGCACTGAATTTGAAGCTGCTGTAAGTGATTTTTATTTAAAACAAATGTTTACTAACAGACAGAAATCACATTTTTGAGAAAGGCTTCGTTCACAAAAAATTTGACCAATCAGAACAGTTGGGTGGTGGGGCTACCTTATTGTCAGACCATTTGGGATGTTTTTTTTTTGTTTTTTTTAGATACCACTACAGATACATTTGATTAGCTGTTTCTTTAAATTGTCTAGAAAGATGGTGCTTGGTTGGTTTTCTTTTTTGTTCATATATCTGGACCACAGAATGTTTGAGAGTATGTGTGAAGTGTTTGCATCAATCAGAGGTCATTAATCATGCTGTATCACTGTAGCAGCTGTGTATTTACTCATATTGCACTGTATTGAATGGCAGTAGATTTTTCACATAAGCACTTTCACTGTCCTGAGAGATGCCAGTTGAATGTACTTTGGTGCAATGAAACTTTGTTGTAAAGTTATTTTTTATTGTTTAGATGGGGTACAGATACGTACCAGAATTTTGCTAAATAAAAAAGCCAATAATGAATTGTCAATGTGCGCATACACAAACGTACGTGCTTCCATTATTGGAAACCTGTTTACCTCAGAGTAAAAAATAAAGGGTAATTGTACAATTATATCTCACAGTGTGGCCTATTTTAAAATTTATTTCACAGTTTCCTTTTTTATTTTCTACTCTGAAGTAGAAACGGCTTCTATATACTATAGATTGTTGCTTTGTTTGTTACATGTTTCTAAACCGATTCAGAATTGTGCAAAAAGACATGGCGTGTCAACACAAAATGCCAGTGTGTGTGTGAGATTAGTGTGCACTTGTGTCGACCTCAGATCGAATTACACATCAAATAAAACAGTTTCGAAAGTTTGTCTTTGGAGAGATGTGTTTTGGTGGGAAAAAGTTGTGTCTCTTTTCAAGAATGTGGTGGAAAGAGTGCATGGAGGCTGGAGAATGCTCACGAAGCAAACATTTACACTAGACCTACGACACTGAGATGATGCTGACGTCAGGAAAGAACACTTCACTTCATTCTCTCCAGCTTGCTTGGCTCACACTAGACTGTGGGGCACTGAGACTTCAGCTGGGCATGACGAGTGGAGCCGTGTTGTGTTTTGCTTCTGTTTAAAAAGATCCTGACATGCTAGTTGTGATGCCTGCACCGGAGAAGCCTTTGGTCCAGTTTGGGATGAATGAGGGTGGTGGGTGTGTATCAAGGGGTCAAGGTTTGGCTGGTTAGCATGGCCCTGTAAGCACCTGCTGGTAGATACCATAACTATATACTCTGTGTGACTTTTCCTTCCATAAATGGCTATTCAAAAGTACATTGTGACTAAATAAATTAAACAGGTTTAAGTCAAGATAATTTTTTTCTCTTGACCATAGATGGCACAAAGTCTCATCTCAATTCATCTGATGAATGGCTATACGCTCTTCTTAAAGGGAAATTCACCCAAAAATGAAAATGTTGTCGTGATTTACTCACTCACTCTCATGTCGTTCCAAACCTGTATGAGTTTCTTTCTTATGTTGAACATAACAGAAGATATTTTGAAGAATGCTAATAATCAGACAGTTGATATTCCCCATTGAATTCCATAGTATTTCTTTCCCTACTGTGGAAGTCAATGGGGACCAACAATTGTTTGGTTCTTCAAAATTCTTCAAAATATCTTCTTTTGTGTGCAACATGAGAAAGAACTTAGACAGGTTTGGAACGACATGAGGGTGAGTAAATGATGACAAAATTTCCATTTTTGGCTTAACTATTCCTTTAATGCCATTTCATCTGAATATCGACATTTGTGAGATTTATCTCAAAACAAAAAGTTTTGAGATTAAATGATCTATATTGTTGCTCTGGAAAATAGTTATCTGTGACATTGTACTATGATGAATATACAAGCTTTTGTGTCTGTTTGTTAATAAGGGAATTGTAGACACATTAATGTATTTAGAAAAGTCTGTAATCTAAAAATCAGCAAAAAACATTGTTTTTATTTTGTAGTGAAACAATCAAATTTGCCAAGAATTGACTCACAGAATTGGCAGAGAAGACCCTGAAGGCTTCTTGCCCCAGGTTTAGGGCCATCTTACCCCAGTTGTGGGGTATAATTTTACTTTTTGTTCTATGACAGCTAAATTATCAAAAAAAAATTATTTCCCTTTGGCTGATGCAGCATTATCTGCACATGATAAACGTATATCTGTAACAGTTTCAAAGTTAATGCTCATTATTCTTAAGGGGGACAATAGAGCACAAAATCTGAGCCTTTTAAATGCTTGTAAGTGTTTGACCACTAGGGGGCAGTGTATGACAAGCTCTACCACTCTTGATTGCACAGGGTCATTTTTGATCTTTTATATATTTGTCTCATTCGTATTTGTCATTTTGCTGGGCTCACGCAGGGTAACTCTGTAATGAGAAAACAGCAGAACTGAATTGGTCATGGCAGGGGACAGCATCACACAGTATGTGAACTAGTAGCCCTTTATGACTCACACAATGGGTTTAATATCACCATAAGCTTGTTGCAATAGAAACATCTCTTGTTCTTTCTCTCCTAAGTCTCTCAGTCTCTTGTCCTTGTTGTGACTGATGTATGTTTTCCAACTGCAGGGATATTATTGGATGGCACGCTGAACTACACACCGCACTCAAGCAAACTCCTCTCTCACCATGAGTTCCCAGTCTGCCTGTAATAATATTGTTCCTCAAACTCCTCTACAAACACATCACCTCTTTACTCCCCGTTCCCCTCAGTTAGCCTGCTTCGCAATGGCGCCAGCAGTCACCAGAACCCTGGCACCGAGGCCGGGAAACGTGGTTACCATGCCAACCATTGTGGTCAGTAAGAGGAACGCTTATAGGCCGGTAACGAT